ATACGTATCATTTCAAAATTTATATAATACAGTACTAAAATATCTTTAATATATATGTATATTCGTACTGTATCGTACCCTTTATAAATTTCATATCGTACAGTACTAAATTATCTTCCGTACAGTACGAAATATATGTATATTCACTCCGTTCCTGGTATGATCGGTTAAAATTTTAGCGTACAGTACGTACAGTACAGTACGTATCTGGTATAGTACTGTACGTGGCACATCACTAGGTCAACAGTACATAAACCTCGTGAAAATGCAACATATGAAATTATTAATAAAATATTCCTGCCTAGCCGGATTTACTTATTTATGCCGGTAATACAAGGAAATTTGATTTTGTAAATAAAGTGCAAATTTAAGAAACATTAGAAGCTATATCTATAAACTATTGCCCATTATATGTAAAATTTCGTTCCCGACATTTTTAATTAGTGTATCAAGGCCGATTTAAACACTAGTTTTTGAGAATTTTCGTTTTTTCTTCTTTGCGCGTGTCGGGGCTGATCCGGAACGATCAAAAATTGAACTCACTGATTGGCTATTTCCTTTTTAGGAGTTTGTATTACCGGCATAAAGCCACCCATTTAATAACCCATTCATACAATTTCATGTAAATCAATATTGATGTTGACTTTTTATACGTATAATAAATATTTTACTTAAAAATAACAAAAAATAGTTAATTACCTAACTAATTAAGTTAATAATAAACTAAATGTTTCATTATCGTCATATTATCCATTCCAATCTAACTACTATTATAGTTTCCGTTCCCGGTTTCGCGCAAAGCTATTTAGTTGAATATAAAGGGGTTTGACTGTTTGACTGTATAGAATAAGACGAAAAATCGTGAGCCTTTTAAACTCCAATGACTCCCAGGACATTAAAGATTCGATTAAGTTTTATTTTTGTGATTCTATTTATAACCTTTCTTATTATAAATCAAAATTCAGATAATGCTAGTAATTTAGCATTCAATACAGAAAAATATTTAACTTACCTTCCCCATAGTGGTTTCAATAATCAAAGAATTGCATTTGAAAATGCAATCTTCTTGGCATGGTTTTTAAACAGGACTCTGATAATTCCGCCTCTCCTTCTTTTTAAAGAGTATGCACTAGAATACCGGCCATATGATGAATTATACGATTTTTTATCGCATCTAAACAAAAATCAATTTAAATTCTGTTTTACAAACGAGAAATGCGAGATGGTACCTTATTCAATGTATAATTGGGAAGAGTTGCTCGATTTTACATTTTTGAAGCATAATATTAAATATATTTGTCGTCAAGATTTTGATTTTAAATATTTATTGGCATCACTTAACATTGATAATAGTACAGGAGTGTATAATGTGACTAGAGACGAAGATCGATATCAACAACGATATTATGATGACGCTACATCAACAATAGAACTTGGTAAATTTAAAGAACGAGTGAACTTAATTGACTTAAGCAAAAGATCCGAAAAATTAATAAGTTTTGGTAGTGTGTTTTCAACAGTTAGAATCGTTCGACAATTACCTGAAAGTATTGAATTTTGGAATAGATTAATGAAAAATATGTTACCGAACAATCCAACTATAATTAATATTGTAGACAAAATTGTTGATAAAATTGGTGTAACAAATGGTTTTATTGGTGTACACGCAAGATTAGGAAATGGCTTTCTCAAAAATCAAAATAACACAATAGAAGGACTCATAAAAAGAATTAAAACAGATTTTGAAGATAACGTTTGTTTAACATCAAAAATATTTTTAGCAATAGATTTAAAAAGAGATCACATTTCCCTTCAATCATTCTTTCAAACTTTCTCATGTACTTATATATTAGATGATTTTAATGACCTTTTAGAACCCTTAAAATTTTTAAAAAATCTTAAAGATGATATGATTTTGTATGAATTTCTAATACCGTTAGTAGATTTACTAGTAGTATCAAAAGGTAATAAGTTCTATGGAACAAAAGGTAGCACCTTTTCAAGATATGCTCAGCGATTAAACGAAGTATGGGTTAGATAATTGAAAATGATTAGCTAGGTAGTTATATAAAATATCTGTGTTAACTATTATGATCCATTACTATTTAGTGTATGTTAACTTTTAAAAATACTTTTAATTTTCGATAAACTATGCAATTTTCTGATATTCAATTACGTTTATGCCCTTTAATTGCACCTTTAACTTTCAGATTCAAAACAAACGTCCGTTGTTACTATTGCGAGAAAACTATTACCCGTAAACTGCCGTGTACAAGATCCCCCATATACTATACATGGGTGTCTAAATTATTTTACTCTTGTCGTAAATTTAAATGACTAAATTATTTTAGACAGTCTAAATC